TATATATGATGCCTTCCAATGCCAAAGTTTCTGCTTCTTATGCAGGTAACCAGTATGCGTGGAGCACCAGCGAGGCTGTGAGCATGACGACAGGCAGGAGAAGCTGCATGCTAGGAGAACCTGTCTTCATCTTTAAGGAGATGGTCTGCCTTGTTAACTCACAGATAAACAACATAGAGTGCCATGCCATGGGTGCAATGGGGAGAGCTATGAAAGAGGAGAGGAGAAGCGGCTTCCGTCCGCCTTGAGGGGGCAGGCAGGTGGGAGAGAGAGAGAGAGGAGGGGAGGGAGGAGGAGAACTAGAAGGTGCAGAGGCAGGGGCACTGGGATGTTAGAACGTGCAGCTGGAAGTGAAGAGGGCATGGGGCTCAGATGGTGGAGATCAGCACGGTCGTGGGCGGGGGACATGTATCATGCTGAGGAGATTCAGACTGGGAAGCCACAGAAAAGACATAAGAAAATCATACTACAGGACAGACTCAAAAAAGGAAGCACAAATTTTTGAGACGTTGGGGTGAAACTATCTTAGATACTCACCATAGGACTAGAACACTCAAGTGAGATAAATAAATGACAAAAAAAATGAAATAAGAGCATAGCCATCACTAGCTGGACACAAGACAGACATAAAAGCCCATACCTGTTATACACAGTAGCAATAGGTTATTAGAAAAGGTGATGAAAAAGGTGTAATTCACAAGAGAAACAAAAGAACATAAAAATGTAATGCACATTTCAAAAAAAAAGAAAAAAGAGCAGGGCCAGGTGTGGTGATGCGTGCATATAACCCCAACATTTGGGATGCTTAGACAGGAGGATCATTGCGAGTTCAAGACCAGCCTGGGCTTCAAAGTGAGCTCAAGCCAGCCTGAACTGCATAGCAAGACCCTGTGCAAAAAAAAAAAAAAAAAAAAAAAAAAAAAAAAAAAAGCGGGGGGAAGAGTTGTGAACTTCCAACCAAAATCCCCAGGGACAGGATTTTTTTTTTTAAATGAAAGTTAATGATCTCATTCTGAAATTATAATTACATAAAGATAACCTAAAAATGGTTGTAGAAGATAGGGCTATAAAGGAGAATTTGCCTCATAAATACCAAACATCCTATAATGTCACCAAGAAATGTGAGGATAACAATAATATGATTTAAATCTTTAAAACACAATTTTAGCAAACACCAAAATGTGGGACTAATGTCAATTTCTCTAACTTACAGTTTTATAAGAAACATAAGTGTACACTGAAGAAGTTTATAGGTTAAATGAGAGTAATTAAGATTGTAGGAACCAGTGTGGGAACAGATACATTGTTACAGTCTGGGTCTTACAGTTTGAATTATAGAGTACTTACTAAGAATCAATACCCAGGAAAAAGATACAGGACTGTTCAGAGAGAGAAAGCCCACCTGCAGGGCCCATTGACAAAGCCCCTCCCGACAGGCATTCCGAGATGCATGCAGCCCACCAGACTGTCAACACAGACCATTCTTTTTTTTTTTTAATTTAATTTTTTTTTTTTTTGGCAGAACCGGGGATTGAACTCAGGCCCTTGCGCTTGCCAGGGAAGCGCTTATTCCACTGAGCCATCTCCCTAGCCCATTTTTTAAAAAAAATTTTTAAGACCATTCTTTAGATGCAAATTAAATGCAATGAGA